CTGCCTTCAGTTTTTCAAAAACTAATTTTTTAAATACTATAAAAAATTTTAAAAAGCACTATAAGAGATACTCTAAAAAGTAATCTAAATTTTGTTTAATATTTAAAAAAATCTCAAAATATATTTTAAAAACTCTACTACTCTTAAATATTTCAAAATATTTTCTAAAAATATCTGAAAATATACTCAAAAAACTCTGCTACAGTAAAATTTTTCAAAAACACCTCAAAAAACAACTAATCCAAATGGGGCTCTAGAAACCATCTATGGTTTAATTAAATTCACGAACATGCCCAATTTTTGTAGCTTACCATTTTCACATAAAATTTTTTTCCTTAAAAACATTTTCACACAAATCTTAATAATCCAATCAAAAGTAACATACATACATATATATATATAAATTGAAAAAACGAAAAAAGAAATTGAATCTAGAAGTCAGGTGTAATAAGGCGGTTACAGTGGTCCGATTAAACCGACCCAAACCCAAAACTATATGCGTACATTAAAAACAAGAAAACCTTAAACGGCATCGTAAGAGTCGTATTAGATTATTTAGATATTGGCCGACGCCGAGTCACCAGATTGGATTGTTCGCCTTTTCTTCCCCTGGGCGTGGGCGTTCCTAGGGATGCAGAGCAGTTTTGTATCAATCTAGGTTTTGGGTGCCCTATCTAAAAGTCGACACCAAATTTCTTCTTCGCTCAAAATTGTTCTGTAACTGAGCTTCGGTTGTGGGCACCTAAAGATGGCTACTGCTTCAGGTATCCCAATCTTTGCATCCACTTCAGATAATCATCGATTCAACTTTTCCCCCCTTCTCACAACAGAAAATCTATGTTTTGTTTCATGTAATTCGATGCAATTGATTTTTTGTGCTATAGCGTCAAGATCGAGATTTCTTAATCCGAATTAACCTGATGATAGATGTTCTGATTCAACAAGTATTTGTTAATTAAATGTCTGGGAAAATCTCTTCTTTCATAGCTTAGCCGATTTCTTTGTGGAAGTGAGATTGATGGTGGGTGGTTTTGTCAAATGAAATTGCAGTGGCTTTTAAGTCTAGGGAGGATCATAGAAAGCAGCTGGAATTAGAAGAGGCGCGTAAGGCGGGGCTTGCGCCGGCGGAGGTTGATGAAGATGGCAAAGAAATCAATCCCCACATTCCTCAGTATATGTCGTCAGCACCTTGGTATCTCAATGCTGAGAGACCCGTAAGTTACCAAATTATCTTTCACTACTTATTTTGTTTTATTTTTTATTTGTTTTTGCGGTTTGTTTTGGGGAAGAAAAGGGGATTCCTTGTTTTGGTCAAATTGATCTTTGGCAATTTATTTGTCACGTAATTGACTGCAAACTTTGATTTTTTTGGGTGTTAAAGAGTTTGAAACATCAAAGGAAATGGAAGTCGGATCCAAATTACACCAAATCATGGTACGACAGAGGTGCCAAAACATTTCAAGCTGATAAGTTCCGTAAAGGAGCATGTGAGAAGTAAGTTAACTCTGCCTCCTTTCTTCACTCAGTGTATGCATCTATCTAGTGTATCATCCTTGCTCTTACTACTTTGCTATGGGCATATTGTGAGGATTTGGGGGAAACTCACCTCCCCAAGCATTACCGATTTCCTCCAGGAGCTTCTGGAAGTTCACTTGATCCTTTTTTTTTAGCTTCCCATCAGTAACGAACGGCTTAAGATTGAATTAGGTTTAGAGTATATTTTGTTCATCAAGATTTCTCTGCTGTTACAGCTGTGGAGCTATGACTCACAATGCAAAATCATGCATGGAAAGGCCTCGCAAAACTGGAGCAAAGTGGACCAATAGGAATATTGCGCCAGATGAGAAAATTGAGACCTTTGAACTGGATTATGATGGTAAAAGGGACCGATGGAATGGATATGATGCAGCAACTTATGCTCAGGTCATTGAAAGATATGAAGCAAGAGATGAGGCAAGAAGGAAATTTTTGAAGGACCAGCAGCTTAAACAGTTGGAGGAGAAGAACAATAGCCAGAACAAAGAAGGGGACAGTGATGAAGAGGATTTTGAAGATGCTTTGAAAGTAGATGAAGCTAAAGTTGATGAGAGCAAGCAGATGGACTTTGCTAAGGTAGAGAAGCGTGTTCGAACTACAGGTGGTGGGAGCACTGGAACTGTCAGGTAATTTTTTCCCTTTCTCTTGTCACTTCCGGTGGACATGTGCGTTGTGAGTTTTTTTACATTGTTCTGTGCCTTTCTCTGCATGGTCCAATTTTGCATCTATATTTACTCTTTTGAAATTATACTGTGTACTGATGCATCTTTTTTTCAGGAACTTGCGTATTCGAGAAGATACAGCAAAGTATCTTCTTAATCTTGATGTCAATTCTGCGTACTATGACCCCAAAACCCGTTCTATGCGTGAAGATCCTCTTCCTGATATGGATCCAAATGAGAAGTTCTATGTTGTAAGGACACTTCTACTCCAAAAGTCGTCTTATGTTTGGTCTCCTTTGTTCTGTAATACATTGTTTTTCGTGTATATGTTCCGGTGGTACCAATTTTTGGTTCTTTATGTTTCAGGGAGATAACCAAAACAGATTAAGCGGTCAAGCTTTAGAGTTCAAGCAGCTGAACATTCATGCTTGGGAAGCATTTGATAAGGGCCATGATATTCATATGCAAGCAGCTCCATCCCAAGCTGAATTACTTTACAGAAATTATAAGATCAATAAGGAGAAACTGAAGGGTCAAACAAAAGAGAGTATCATGGAGAAGTATGGCAATGCAGCTGCTGAAGAAGAACTTCCAAGAGAACTTTTACTTGGTCAAAGTGAGAGAGAAGTTGAATATGACCGTGCTGGTAGGATCGTAAAGGGCCAGGTGATAACAAAATTAATTGTTATATTCTCTTGTTTACCTAAATTTTGTAAATTTGGTTCAGTCTTGCTGTTATGAGATAAGAGAGTCAAGATTGCGTGCTTGCCTATTCATTAGCTTCTATTTTACTCTAATGTGGGTTATCTTAATCACTATCTCCTAAATTGGGAGGCTTGGTGAAAATCCCAGGGTGTTCAAGATTTGCAATAATATTTGGGATTGAATAGCATTGGAAGATAAATTTTATTGAATATCTATACTCGAACGATTCAATTTTTACTCATTGAGCTCAAAATAATATTAGAGAGACTCTGTTGTATGGAGATTAATTGAAGCCAAATTTTCTTTTCAATGGCTTTTGATGAGGTCATCACTTGATTTTACACATAGGGATATCTTTCGTATTGTGCTTATTTGTATAATTAACTGTCTTTACCTTCATCTCGATTTACTTATTTTTTTTTCCTGTTTGTGATGGACCAGTCAATTTATGAGTTTTGTTCAGCTTCATGCTATACTTCAGTTTACAATTTTGTCTTCACACAATGCAATGTGTCAAATTAGTTTTAAAACGTTGATCAGGGCACTTTTCTATTGACTTTGTTCTTTTTCCGCATGGGAGGATCAGCTGGCATGTACCGGAGGATTTTTTATGCTAAGATTGCGTTCAAATGCTTTAATGTCCTAATTCATTGTGTATGTGCTTTTCTCTAGGAGGCATCCCTTCCACGTAGCAAGTATGAGGAAGATGTTTTCAGCAACAACCACACAAGCGTCTGGGGTTCATGGTGGAAGGATCATCAATGGGGCTACAAGTGCTGCAAGCAGACCGTCAGAAACAGCTATTGCACTGGGTCTGCCGGAATTGAAGCTGCTGAAGCTGCAGCAGATCTTATGAGGGCAAATATTGCCCGCAAAGAGGCTGCTGAAGGTTAGTTTCTCTTAAACGCCATTTTTGACAAGTTGCTATAGTTTTTAAGGTTCCATCTTTAAATTGTCTTTATTGTTGTTTTTTTTTTCAAAGTTATCAAATAACAATTTTGGAGCAAAGATTTCAATACATAAAGCAATAATTCGATATGCTGTTGTACCTCTGAATGAAAGTTTGGTATACTGGTGTCTGTCACCTGACAACTTGTGCTATAAGATGGGAACTTAATTTCTAAATTGAGGTTTTCTGGATGAGTTCATATATTGGTATGTATATGGATCTGAACTGTCATTGTAAAACCAGAAACGCCAGATCCAGTAGAGGAGAAGAGGCTTGCTACATGGGGAACTGAAGTTCCTGATGATTTGGTTCTGGATGAGAAAAAGCTGGCTGAAGCACTCAAGAAGGTAAAGAAGATTTTTGTGATACATTTTTGTAATTGGTTTGCTAGGATTTGTGTATGACTTGATATGTGTTGCGTGGATCTTTTTGAGCAGGAGAATGAAAGGAGAAGGGAAGAGAAGGATGAAAGGAAGCGCAAGTACAATGTCAAGTGGAATGATGAGGTCCGCCCACTTGTTCCATTGTCAGCTTCATTTTGTTTTCTCCCGCCTATTCTTGCGGTTTACTCACCTGTCCCCACCTTGTATCTATCAGGTTACGCCAGAGGATATGGAAGCATATAGGATGAAGAGAATCCATCATGATGATCCAATGAAGGACTTCCTGTAGCTGACGTTGGTGTAAGATACCACAAAATTGTGGAGAGGGGATATGCTGATAGGTCTGGAGTTCATTGGTCGAGGTTTTTTCATCTCTGTATGCCGTGTTTTGGTGCAGGACTAGAGTGAGAGTGACTATGTACGTGTGATCTTGGTTGGTTCTGCTTGTTGACTCTACCTGCTGTAAAACCTCTTGTTTTCCACTTTTTATAGCAAATAAAATCCGTGGGAAATTTTTGTACATATGGGAGGATGTTTGTGTGTCTCGTGGCTGTACATAATTAGATATTTATTCAAGTTTATATGCTGTGCGAATGCACTGCTATCCAAGTATGTTGGGGTTAAGCCCTATACTGAGCCTGTTCGGGATCAACCGAGCACATTCGTGCTCGATTATGTAAGATTGGAAATTTATCAGCAGACCCTCGAATTTTTCCTTCCAAGAAAAGAAGCAAAAAGTTAGTTGACCGCCCTTAAAGCCTGGTCTTGCCGCTGGAGGTTCTTTTATGTATCCAACAAACAAGAACGTTGTAAATCAATAGCGCCTCCTGGCCAGAATGACCACTGGCAAATGTGTACGTCACCAAAATTACGCTTTATTCTAAAACATGTTACTGGAACACGGCGGGAAAGATAAGCAAGAAAGCGTTCAATTAATTGCTACAAGTAATGAGCCAGCTGCTCTTGAAGCAGCATCTCTGCGCGGAATCGAGTAATAAATTCCTCTGCTCTCTCGTTAATTCCGTTCATCTGTGGCGATGCCAGCACCAGCGATTCCCACATATCATCTGCAGAATGCATGTTCTCGTTCAGTTTCTCCTCTTCTTTGCTCGTTCCTGCCGTATTTTCTCGTTGATCAACGAGCTCAGGCTTCTCCGTATTCAGCGTCGATGGACATACCTCCTGGTACTCCTTGCTAGCAGTTGTTGCAGCAGCTTTCTTGGGTGGCTGCGAATGCACCCTAACCAAGGAAACCGCAGCAGGCTCGATAAACAGCCGGTCAATATACACAGCCGACGGTCTTTTATGGACGTAGTAGGAGCGTAAAGTTTGTGTTTGTGATGGCTTGTGTTTGAATCTCTTGCGCTGGACTTTGGACTGGGTACAAAAGGCAGGCCAGCAAGAAGTCTTTTTGCCAGTTTTCTTCAGCCTATTCTTGGGTTTCTTGATGGTTTTGGATGGATGAAGCTTGTGTAATTTGGTTTGCACTTTGTCAGTGAAGACCCTCCACGCCTTTCTCGAAGGCAAGAGTTTGTTGAAGCTCAAGCAAGACATAGAGACAGCAAGGAGATGGTGGACGGGATGGGAAGGTATGCCAGTATCCGGAGTGGGTTTTCTTTTATACTTGCTAAAACCTGCTGCATGGGTCGGCATACGATGCTCTGCTGCACCAGTGATCACTTAATTCTTACGCTAATTGTTTGACGCGGAGGAGAAGAAAAAGCAGCCAGTAGCTGTCAAAATGCGTATAGTTTCCGCAGAGTTATTAATAGTTAATTTACCATCTTGAGGATAGGATAGGACAGGATTAGCTGATTATGACCTCTCGGAGCTTTTTCAAATTCTTGATCTCTGCTACTTGCTCCTCATCCATTCAATAAATTGATGCTGCCTTTTGCCATATACAACAATATTCCAGAATCGGAATGCGTCCCCTGGCAGACGTCAAGGTCATGGATCTAAGCCGAATGTTGTGCTATTCTAATTGGTCATATTGTCGAGTTTTCCTAAGGTAGTTCAGACGTGCATCGCTTAACTCGATAACAAAGCGCATCCTAGTTAATAACAAAGTGCATTGCTTAACCTGCAGTAATCCACAGATCACGAGTTTAAGTCATTAAGAGAGTAAATAAGAAATTACCATTGATTCTCTTTAGGAGAAAAAAAAAAAAAAAGAGAAGAGGAGGAAAAAATTGTGTTGCTGAACTAGCTGGAAGTTGAGCCAACATTGACCAGCTGATTAGCAATAAATTTCTGGAAGTCTGTGTATGATTGTAGGTGACACAATACATCGATTTGATTTCGTTGGGACGTGGGATTATCCTAGTTGCTGTGGTGCTTGATGTTGACCATACGTACTAGGCTATCAGACTACCCACAGTTTAGGGTTTTACTTGAGATGAATATTCAAAAGTTAAATACCTCCAATGAACACGAGAATGATAGATCTACGAGTGACCGAGCAAGCCTGCACAAAGTGTTTTTGATTCGTTAATGCTGATAGCATTCGTGAATCGCGATAATCATACTCCGGGGGGTGCTCTAGTTATCACTAAAATTCTTTCTTTCTGCACAAGCTGAAAATGATTTGGAATTGGAGGGGGGCCCTGTTTGGGGTGGGAAGCAAATGACAGTAGTAATTACTTTTGAATCGCTTGCGATCAAAACTTCTTGCACTCATCTTACGGGAAGGATGCAGAGAAGACAGTGTCGGACTGCTTTTCTTTTGGGTTCCCAATCCCTCCCGCCGCCTATCTTCCCATCACCACTCCAAATTTCGGTTAGCGACCAATTGTTATTATTTGTTAAGAGTAGTAGTAGTATAATTTACTTCTGCCTCTCCGCTTTTTTGATCAACTTGCGAGATTCTTTATGAATAAAGATGGACACAAGAACATAAAAAAGGTTACTCATGATCACCTTTTGCAGGGCATACTTTGCTCGGTTCATGCTGATTTTTAACTTGAAAAAAGGCTTAATTTGACTAAGAAAGTTGGGAACGGAAGTGGGCAAATCAAAGTTGCGGTAGATTTGATCCTAAGACAGAAATCGTGGGACAAGTACATCTTCCACCTGTGTTCTTTGTCACCCTATCGAGGGGTCTTTTACCTTGTTTATTGTTCATTGCGTGAAATTGTACTTCACATGCAATTTGGAGAATTCAGGAAGTGAAGGATGAGGCAGGGACCGTCTACCGGACCAACCAGAACCACCTCCCTATGCTCAAAAAAGATTCCAAATCCGATTGAGCTACGTTCTTGCCCACCAAATTATTTTCCCAACAGGATATTTCTTCACAAGCCCATTCGTTACAACTTAGGCAAGACTGCTTACCAAATTACCGCTTGGACGAGGAGAAATGGATTACATAGGCAGATCAGATGAATAAGGAGGAGCCTTTGATTGATTCATTCATTCATGGCTGCCAAGTGACACAATTATAGATATCCAAGCAAGCAAGGCTGATCCATCACGAGTGCGAGGTGTCAAAAATGGTTTTCAAGTCTGCAACTTCCTCTCCTTCTTGATCCTGTTAAGAATGTCCACTGCTGCTAGGCTTCTCGTAGCTTTCTTAGTGTCGCAAAATTTTGTAAGCCCACACATAATAATGTTAAAATCGTTATATAAGATCTGGGCCTTACATTTTTTTTAGCCAAATCACGGCCGGCAACCTTCCAGACGGTTGCTACCTGCAACCATCCTTGCCCCAACTCGCACATCAAATATTAAACACAGCCACATGAGCTCTAATAGTTTAGGATAATCGAGTTTGAAACGAAGAGCTTTCATTGCTTATTAAGCAGTCTTCTAATTTAGCAATTACTACATGCTGCCGAGGAGTTCCAATGGCGTGAATTGTAATCTGATACAGTGGAATCCCCAGTGCCGTATGGTCACATTCATTCCACACAGAGATATGTGTGGGGTATACCCGGCACAAAGGGATTAGAAGGGGAGCAGCAACACGAATTGTCGCAATATACCTTCTCTAAAAAAAAGGCCTGGAACTCTATAACCAAGAAACAATTCCAGCTCACAACAATGAGTAATATTAAATTAAAATCAGTCACTCATTCAATGGTGAAGTACATACTCGAGCAAAATTTTGAAAGAAATATCTAAGATCAAGCTCTAAAAGAAAGGGACGTCTCCCATCCTCTGTGATCCTCAATTTTCTGGGGGGAAACAGCTACCCTTGGGCACGCCAAAAAAGTTTTCCTTCCCCACGAAACGTAACCAAGAAGATTATACTACCAGAGCAACACGCTGGATATCTCAGATGAGTGCCTGAACTCCAAATTGTTGCATTTCTCTAAGCCTCCAAATTGGGTAAATGGCACCTTCTCCAAGTTCTTCGGGAGGCACTTGCAGCATGGCCCAAGCATAGTACACAGTATGTATGGTATCCTGAATTACCAACAACATTAACAGGCAAAAGTCAGCAATGAATATTAAATACCAAGAAACAAAACAGACAAGAGGATTGAGGCGCAGCCTTTCACCATACAATACATCTCCTAGACTCTTTCTTTACTGTTCTTTGCTCATTTCACCTTAACCTTTGCCTTTTCTTTCTTCACTTGCTCGTTTCCATGTAACCAGTAATGAATACGATTGTGGAATTTGGAAAACATACTCTCAATAATAATCCTACTTCTAAAACAGCATTGTTATATCTCACTGTTGGAAAGTTTCCAATAATAACAAAAACAGTTGCATATGGTTTCCTTTTTCTGTTTTGCCAAAAAAGTTGTGGAACTAAAGATGCTACCAAATGCAGGCATATGTGATGCAAATGACTAGAGAGAAAAAAGAGTCACACAATTTCACCTTGCCCCCTTCTGTCACTGCACCATGTCTATCACGTACACAGTAGATTTGTTGTGTTTGGAACTGCACATCAACATTTTCAACGTGTAAATGCAACACTCCATATAAAAATAAAAAAAAATTTGAACACTCAGCATTCTGTTACTTCAGGAACAGAGAGAGAGAGAGAGAGAGAGAAGTTTATACAGTCACAATAATTATTGGAGAGTCTCCCATCATTTTGGTCTCTCTAACCTCCACATCTGATATATGTAAAATCTGCATAAATGCAACGCAGCATCATTTGGCATTTTGGAATAAACAAACATGTTAAATAACTTCAAGACATGATCAACATCATCCCAAGCTAGTGATTATAGCAAATTTCAAGCCAGGGATAATGCATTTGCAACCCCAAACCTTCACATTGATACAGTCAAAGATGGTTAATCAAACCCTACTTGTTATTTAGGCACTTTGATGGTTTCTGAATGTCCTAGTGATTATCTGGGATGATACTTTTCCGAGTCCCTAACTAATTCACTTCTCATGTAATGGAAAATAGCAACGTAAAGATGCAAATTTATCAAAACTACTAAATTCTCAAGTAACCAGATATGTAGGTCAAAAAAAGCTGTTTACAACATTCATATATGTATCTTGAACTTGTATAAATATTGCAATTCGAATTCCCCAACCTTGTGATCGAAAAAAATATCCTGGCTTTCAAAAGCATTGTGCTCAGCCTTGCAACGTTCAACCACCTCGGAGCTACAATACTTCTTCAGAACTTCAAAATCTTTCTGTATATGGAGATGGACTATAATGTTAATTTATCATCCACATCAACAGGCATGAAAAGATGCCAAGGCCATTATGTGGGAATGAGAGTGTAGATGGGACTAAACTCACCTTGAAATAAGCATTTAATACTGGTTTTACCACTTCTTGAACCTCAGACACAAATTCTGGCAGAGAAAAAGACCTGAAGATACCAAATTTATATCATTTTATCAAGTATCTTTTGATAAACATCAAAAGCTTGCAGAAAGTAGAGGTTTTCCATACGGATCTCTTTGACGTATCTCCTTGAATGACATTGCAGTATCTGTTTCTCCAAAAACAGTTTCATTTAGACTGCCACAATAAATAGGTAAAATCAGAACTATGAACATATCTTAAATTCTGACAAGTCTAGAAAGTAGTAACACAACATACTCCTGGATTTTGTGGACAACAGGATGATCACTGGTATCCCATCTCTCCCTTACATCCTCTGCAATCTGATAATTCAGCCATACAATAAACTTGATATCAACTTGCTGAAAATTTTTCTGTTTATCAGAGTACTAAAACTGGAAATCAAATGCCAGGACCTCCAAGGATAAACATTATATTGATTTTTTTCCCATGAATTAGCAGTGCAGAGAGAGAAGATAAGGCTTTGCTTCTTTAAACAACCATAACTAGGAATATATGCCAAATCAAGTCATTAGATTCAGTAATCGTTCTTGTTCTTTTTTTTCCTCCCCCTCAGTCTAAATACAGTTGAAGTTCAGTACCAACAATTATTCAAGACTAGTCATGATAACACTGCTTGAGTGACGGGATGAATGACAATTGAAATAATATGGAATTTACAACGAGTACTTTCTTTATCATTTGCCTCTTGCAGCATTTTTATCAATTGAGATAATATGGAATTTACAATGAGTACTTTCTTTATCAATTGCCTCTTGCAGCATTTTTATCAATAACGTTTTACACTTTCTACCCAAGAGCAAGGGGAAAAATGGAATGGCCATCTACCTGCCCCTCCATTCCCCCCCCCCAGCGAGGGGCCTCCCAGAAAAGGAAACAAAACATGGAAACAAAAAATTGTGCAAAATGATCCTTGGTCAGTAATTTACTCATTCATCCCACCATATCACTCCTCCCTGCAAGTTGTTAAATTAAAATCAAAATAAAATGATCATGTTATAAAATGCCAACAAGTCATGTCAACATAATCACAAGTACCTCTTGGCTCTTCGTGACAACTGGTTCGCTCATCCCTCTGACGCGTTTGTATAATGGATGACCGCGCATCTGAAACAGTGAAAAGATCAACATCGATTGGAGAGTCTTGCAAGTGAAACAAAGACTTTACATGTGAGATAACAAATAAACACCCAAAACCATGAAGTACTTACCTTCTCCATGAATGTGTCCCATTTCTTGCCCCATTTGGACTGCTTAGAGGGTAAGATCACAAGATCAGTCCTAGTGCTCTTTCCAACCTTGATTGAAGGGTCTGCTGTTTGGGGAGAATGCTCAAGGTGCTTTCTCTTAACGGCATTTCCTTGCAACTCATCCTTGACAATATCATAACCCTTCTTTACAATATCAATAGGCTTAGCTTCCTTTACTTTCTGGAATGCCATTGATGCCTTCGCAGAAACAGAAGAAACACCAGACTTAAACTTGTCAAAGAAGGCTCCTGCATTGTCACTAGGGCCAGATTGCTGATGTTGCTCTTGCTGCTTTTGCTCTCCAAATCTCATTTCACCTCCGTCCTTCCCATCGGAATGAATATTTTCAGAAGCTCCAGTAGATTCTGAAGACTCTTCCTTCCTAAATCCAAATGATTCTTTGACCTAAACCACAAATTAGAATATAGTTAATTTCATGTTTGCCTGAATTGGGGCTTATATCTATCATGTCAACCTCTAGAGTGCAATAAATGACAAACCTCAGCTTTAGCAGCTGAAATCTTCTCCTCCACATCGGTATATACCTAAAGTCAACATAACATGCCACAATTTAGTACCAACCAACATACATATGTGACTAGACTAGCTATTACTAGTCCTTGACTGCAAAGAGTGGTAACCAGAAGCAGATATCTGGTAACTGTGCAAGGCATGATCAAGACCACCACTCTGTTTCACGATACAAGTTCCTTTAGTAACAGCAGAAGTCCCAGAAACCCTCGTAAAGGCAGTGTGTATACCTTTTTAGCTGTAGATTCGGCTTCCGTCCAGACACCATCCACATGCTTGTAAAGCTGCTCAGTGGTCTGCTTCGTTCTGCATTCGCCAGTTCACCATCTCAGGATCTCCAATGGAAGGTCTGCCAGCCTTGACATACAACAGTATGTCTCAGCCTCTAAAGGGAAAGCTAGAAAAATTGAAACTAAAAACTACAAGGGTTTTGGAACATTACCTAGCTTTCAGGTCTTCCTTCACTCCTTTCAGCTCTTCTGCTTTCTCCTTCAATTCCTTGACTGACTGTTGAAAATCCTGATTCCTGCAATAAACATATTGAATGGAAGAAATAGTCATAAAGAATCAGAGCGGGATCTATTTGTCCACCATAACTAGGTGATCCATTGATATGTAATCTAACATTCAATTTGCGGCATGTCAGTTAGAAAATATGAGAACAAGAGGCCATGATTTTGCAACTGATCTTATAAAGAAGTTCAAAATCTAAGCTCAAGGAAGCAACGTCAAGAAATAATCTGAAATTTAAAGAAGCAAATCTTGTTCTGCTTTCCAATTAACTTAACTTCATCATGCAAAAGAAAGCAACTTTAGATATTATCAGCTTAACCACAAAACTAGTAAAGCAACAGCCTCTATTCCTAAGTATAACTAAGCTAAGTGCAATGTGAACATAACAGCAGCAGTAGAATGTTACCGAGCGTACATTATAACCATACAAACCAGCACGTGGCACAAAACAAGAAACCCAATCTAAAACTGAATTCTCCCAAAGACAAAGCGCCAAAACAATGACAATTTTACTATTTTGATATTTTCTGCAATCTTCTAGTGTGGCAGCAAACACATGCGGTTCTAGTCAGCATTAAACATAAAACGAAGTTAAAATCAGAATTTCCAAAAGTCTCAAAATGTAAATCACGAGAGAGAGAGAGAGAAGGAAAAAACCATACTTGCTAGCTTCCCCCTTAATTTTGTTAGAGAACTCATTAAATACGCTGAACTGACGCCTAACCCCAAACCCATTTACTTGTGTAGTTAACCTCAATCTTGTAGCACCACTGCACACCTACACCACCAAAAAAGCCCAAAAATTTAGTAATTTGAAACAATAATCAGGACAAACATTATTATTGAGGAGGGATTTCAACAGAAGAACAAGAAGGCTAAAGGGGAAAAGAATAGAAAGAAAAGAAAAAAACCATTTGGGGTGCTAATAGCTGCCGAAAAAGGGGCTGTCTTGCGATAAACAAATCACGAACTAATTTTTTGCTGGCCATCTTCTTCCTCTGGGAAGGTTTTTTCACAGAAGACTACCTCTGGAGAAAAATTTTTTGTGGGTATTTCCTGGTTTCCTCTCCACCACCTTTTCTCACGAGTCTTGGAGGAGGGGATTCTCTGTTTTAGCTGTTTAGGGCGGTCTGTTCCAGTTCGAATTGGGTCGGGGAAGCCAGACCCGTTGTCGGAAGATATTGGGCTATTAAGATCGGACGGGCTATCAGGATGTATGGGCCTAAGATTAAAAAATTGGCTCCTTTTGCCCAACCAAAAATGTTCTTTTCAGGCCCACCTTATGCTGTTCAATAATGTAAAACGGTAAATTTAGATAGAATAAATCTTATATATATATTGACAGTTTATATACACTATCACAGTTGGATACACGATACATGCAAATTTTGGGTTTCAAAATATCTTATCTTGTGAAACAGCTTTGCAAGTATTTTAATGGACTTTTTCCTCTTACTTGATTATTATTTTTAACATAATACCTTGCTCAAAAAATAAATTAACGTTGGGGGGATGAAAGGTATATCTTTTAATCATAGTGAAGTAATAATTTGCTCCATCATTCTCCGTTACCATCATTGAGCCAACCATATGACTTGCAAATTAAGACTTTAAGGTGTGCGAAGGTATCTGTTAAATTGTAGTAGATTATTTACTCCACCCTCAACTTTTACTTACTTGTCATGGTAAATACCCTCCATATCCTCCGGGGAAGATTTTGGGCCTGTTTGGAAGTTTAATTTTTTAGCAAGTTTATATTATACTAATTTTTTAACAACTTTTGCTACAGGAACCCCAAAAACTTATCAAAGTTTTTAACCTACACACTTAAAATATCCAAAAACACAAAAAAAAAAAAAAAAATTCCTTCCCACAAGCTTCTTCTTCCTCCCCACCACTACCTTCGTCGCCGGCCACACCTTCGCCACCGATTCCTGCACCGATCACCTCTTCCGGTGCCAGTCCTTTTTTTTTTTTTTTTTCCTTTTCCCCTCTCCCCCTCTTCCTTCCCTGCCATCCTCCCCTCTGTCTTTTTTTTCTCCCTGCGTCTCCCCCACCAATCTTCCCCTTCCCCTCTGGCCGATCTGGTCGCGAGAGAATCATTTCATTGGTTTTTGCCCCAGAAAATTACACTTGCAGGCCGCTGTGTTTGTTTCTCTGCCAGCTACCAACTTAAAAAATCTGACCAAGAAGATACGGCAGAGGTCCTCTTAAGTAGTTTGCACTTAAAACTTCGCAGAAAAATTGGTCGTCCTTGCACTTGGGAAATCTTCATCGAATCCTCCTTCTGCTCGTCTCAATCAACCACAGTGGCTGTGGTGCACCACTACCACGCAGCTCTTTCCCCATCTTGAATGTTCAGGCGACACACTAAAACCTCGCAACGGGGTAATTAGCATTTAGCATCAATCATGCAAGTATATAAGAACCTGGCAAGGAGTTAGGGGGAGAAGGAAAATTGCAAAAAAAAAAAAAAATCATTTCGCTGCTTTATCTGCCGGCAAGAGCAAGGAGAGGAGAGGGGTGAAGAGGGAGAGGAAAAATGTGAAAAAAAAAGAAAGAAATCAGGCATGGTGAGAAGCGGGAGGGGAAGGGGGTGGCGGTAGAAGGATAAGGCGCAGAGGGAGGTGCGGGGAGGGGAGGAGAAGGGGAAAGGGAGGAGAGGGTGACGGGAGGTGGCATTGGTGGAGTTACTGCTGGGGGTGGCAGAGGTAACGGGGAAGAAGAAGAAGAAGAAGAAGAAGAAAAAAAGAAAAGAAAGAAAAAGAAAGAGAAAGAGAAAAAGAAAATGAAAGATAAAAAAAAGAAAATGAAAAAAAAGTTTTTCACCTTACAAAAACTTCTACAAAATTTTTCACTGTACAAAAACTTTTAAAATTTTTTCAAAAACTTCTACAGTGCACTACAGTAAAGTTTTAGACAAACTCTCAAAAAATTTAGGTTCCAAACAGGCCCTTTGTTTTGTATCCTCAGGTATGCTAACTCAGAGACGCAAGCCCCAAAAAAAAAAAAAAAAAAATCATGCGAGTCCATGGAACAATAAATCCACTCCAAAGAAAATGGGCGGAGATAGGATAGCGCTTGAGAACTTGCGGTTTATCATCGCTCCTCGAGAATTGGAAATCGCAGGCCTTGTTAATTAAAGGGTCTCATTACCTAGATACGTAACGTTTTGCAGCCGTACCAAAGCGTTGATCAATCAATTAATTATGGGTTCGCAGACAAGGAGAGAAATAAGCTGAGCAAAATCATTTGTCACACACACACACACACACACACACAAACCACGAAAGAAAGATATATATAGGGATCCACAGAAAAGAATAGAATACTTGAGAGAGAGACACAAAAATTCAGGATCAAAACGGGAGAACTAGAAATGAAGGTGGTTACAAGCTTGATTGGCATGGCGAAAGCGTTGAGCTTGAAGGGCAGCGGCCTGTTTGGAGACCAAAGCCTGGATCACCAAAGTCTTGATCTCCCAAGCGGAGTAGGGATAGCCCTTCCGGGCATAGGAGTTGAGGAGTGCGGCGGTGGACTCCTTGACCAACCCAGCAAAAGCGTTGCCCAAGTCGTCGCTTCTGGATGCTGCTTCTAATAGCGTCAGATCGTACCTGAATCTCTCGAAGGCCCTGGAACCAAATACATTTGATACCGTAGACATCTGGGGAACCATTTTCGGCCACGACTCCGCTCTGCTGCTCCAGTATCTGCCCCAAAAAACATATATAATTATTTTAGGTACAACGTCTCGTCCCATATCTACCTCCATTCTCCCCTGATGATTAGTTTTTCTTGTTGATAGTCGTGAATAATGATGCAAATGAAATAATAATAATAAATACCCAAAATGAAAATTAGAATACAAAATTTGTGTTCATAAAAGAAAAAGAACACTACCTACCGATGCCGCAATAGAAATAGTAAAAAAAAAAAAAAGTAGTGATAAAGGAGAGGTGAGGTCCGTGAACTTCAACTTACTGAGGAGTGCATTTTCCTCTGGCTCTGGCGAAGACAAACCCTGGAGCTGTTGCTGCTGCTGCTGCTGCTGATGCCGCAGCCGCCGCCGCCAAGAAGCAAACGATGAGAGAGGAAACAAGAAGTCGACGACTCAAACAACAAACCAACAATAATGTCACCATCTCGGAACTGATTAAAAAAAAAATCCTAGCTCTACTTGCGCATCTAAGTTGTTGGGTTTTCCATGCAACACCGAGTGGGGAAATACTTATATATAAATTTGAGTTTTTGGATCTGGGCAGAAACAAACTAGTGCTCCATTTGAGATCCGGGCAGAAACTAGAAAGGGGAAAGGGGGAATGGTTACCGCACCGGTAACGGGACCGACCACTTTGGGAAGAGGAGCACGTTGGGTCTTACACAGTGGATACTGAATGTGTGGTATATCATAGTAGTATATGATAGTATATGTACTGCCACTACCGCTGTGTCTTGCTCCCCCTATACTTTTTCGAACTCAGATGCCGCTGTCTTTTTGTCTTCGGACTGACATTTTCATTTTTTTGTGGACGTTTCCATCCTTTCCTTTCTCCGGGCATTTTTCTTTCAAGGGATAATTATAGAAACCTCCCTTTTGAAGTTTCTGATAATTGCAATCACCTCTCTTAAAATTTAAAAAATAGTACCAACCTCCCATATCATGAATTTAGAGCTTATAGTTGACATAAGATAGGATAAATTTACTTATATATCCTACGAGTTTAATGTTGTTAGTAAACAAATTTGAGGCAAAAAAATTAGGACAATAAATAAATCTAACATAACTAATTAAAAAAATTTAACAGTTATTTTTTTGTTTTATTAGGCACTGTAAGTGCATTTACAAAATGGTACAATTTTGATACTCCAACATTGTGCCATTTGTGATGAATAGCACTTGAGAGAACAATGCAAATCATATATATATATATATATATATATATTTTACATAGAAGAGAAGTAGAAGCAAGAAAATGTAGAAGAAAGAAATCTCCAGATAAGACTTCATAAAAGAATAAGTTTTGGTAATTTTGGTTGGGTTTATTTCATCTTATGCATTCATGAAACAAAAGGAGAAAGAAAACAAAAATCAATACAAAATTTGAAGATTTTTCTGTTTAAAATTTATAGCAATCAAAAGATGATAGATAACTAATCCTTTATCGTCTCAACTTAATACATTAAATTATGGCGTTAGTTATAGTATGATGAAATTGCTGTGTCAATCATAAAAGAACATAGTTGTGTATGAAATATTATAAATAGTGTGAGATCGATATACTATAAAGTATGACAATAACAAGCTCTCTTATATTGATCAAAGGTAAATATTTTTACTTGATCAAGAGTCTCTTTATATGTTTTAGAATCTCATATTTTCTGAACATATGTTTGTTATTTCTTCCAAATTTTACTGTTGCCATTGTTTTCTTTGCACATATATCATTTGAGTTTCACTAATTATTTCTATCTCTTAATATTTTTCATTCTTTTATTAATACTACCTCACAAGAGGTAAAAATGGTACAAATGGAACAAAATTATTATCTCACTTTCTAAAAGACGTTTTTAATGATATTTACTCTAACATGAGCTGAAGTTGCTATCAAAATATTAAGTTCATGAGAGGTTAATGTTATTTTCCAAACCTTAAGGGAGTTGAGTGCAACTGTCAGAAACCTCAGGGGAGGTCTCTGCAATTATCACTTCTTTCAATCACGGAAGGGTAATTCCGTCTAAGGACAAAAAGGACCCATGCTGGACTCTGTTATCTCTTTTTTTTTTACTTTTTCGGTAAACAACACACTAGTAAAGTTAGTAGCGTTCACCTTTGCTTTTCAATGACGGCTGTTTCCTTCACCAAAAAAAAAAAAGAGACGGCTGTTTAAAGGGGTATTTTACTCAAATACTACCTTTTCTTTTTGTTTGCATTAAATCTAGCAAAAACTGATTATAGAAAGTGATTATAAAGAACAATAAGCTAAACTCGTAGGGAGGACATTTGAAGTGATTAAAGAGAATGTTTTTACTTCCCTAATCGCATTTTCCCACCCCCCCCCCCCACTAAGGTGAAGTAGTATTTTTCTTTACTTGTCTTTAATTTTTTAAAAGAAAAAAGAAGAAGAAAGAAAATAACAACCAATGTTGTGAGTGAGGGAAAATAGTAACCCTTGTAGTAGTATTTGGTAAGCAAATAAATGCTAGCTTCACACGATTTATCCCTATTCTCCTCTCCACAAGTTAAAAAGTTGAGTTGGTTTACTTGGGAAAATTTTTTGTTTCAGAAAACTTAAACAATCATGTGTAATTAATTACCACGAGGAATTAAGCTAAAAAAAAGTTACCCTGATGAAGTTGCTTCTTTTCATTTTTAAGTAATGCTACTAATGAGCACATAATATGATCAATTTTAGTTCGTGTCATATTTATTCTTGGATCCCCTCAGGCCTCAACGTAACCAGTGCATCAACTCAAGCACTACCGACCCTTTTTTTTTTTAAGGTACTCTCAGATCAAAGCAAAGACGGAACATGCTATTATTATTATTATTATCTAATTGATCTCTCCCTCCCGAACCTAGATATCCTAGAACCTAGAATCAGAGCTGAAGATCATGGTTTCCACCCTGTTAAACTTGAGCTGTCGTGCTTCATCTTCCGAAATTTGCAATGCATTGGCGACCACGGATGTGGGTAAACCCCGGAAAGTGGAAGAGCGCCCGGCGATGGTGTTGATCATGGCGTTGTCATTGGTATTGAACCCAACCCACTCAAATCCTTGATTATTCCCAGCTTGCTTCACAACCGCATAGTTCATCGGAACCACCACCACCTGTCCCTCGCTCAGCTGCTCGTCCAAAACGCACTGCCCCCTGTGGTCCACTATTTGCACCCTGCCCTCGCCTCTTGTCACGTACATCACCCCGTTCGCGTTCACATACCAATGCGGCGCAAATACAGCATTCTGCCACCCCAAATGAATAAAAATGAACATATACAGAATTTATTTAAAGATTAAGGAAGGGAGCATTAATTCATGCTTTTCTACATCCTCATGCATCACCAAAACGACTCGTCTAGTTATCAATTCATTCATGGTTTTCTACATGTTTCATCTCTTACGTGCGTACCTTGTAGAGGCCTCCCCTTTCAGCGCTGAGTCTGAAGAAGCTGAGAATGGGGAGGTTTAGGCTATTGACTGTGTGGAAGCGTCCGGCTTGTGGCCTGTGGGTTGTAGATGTCCGTGCGGGAGGGGTTGTCGATGATCTCCCTGAGCCTGGCGGTGCAAATGGTTTCTTCCAAGCCATTGTAGCCTTGCCCTTGTCCCACTTCTTGTTCTTGTGTAGTTGGAGGCCTTAGCACATGAAGGCCTTGATCAACTTCAACAATGTGGCCCCTTTGATCATCTTCAGATTGAAGTTTTCTTGCTGTTTCTTTGTTGGCATTAAATGCCTCGGATAAAGTCTTGACATCGAATCCCCTGAAAATATTCTTGCCCCATTGCACTTCCCACCCTTGTTGCCCTTGTTGCTGTTCCTGGCTTTGGCCTTCCGGGTTCCCGGCAATCTCTGTCAGTCATTATATTAGATTAGGTTAACAGCTAGCTTTTCTAAGCAAAGATGGATCAAGAAGAAACTTAACACCTTTAACACACATGAAATCAGTTTGAATTCCTGACCCTGCGCTCTGTGTCAAGTTGGTTGACTGCGTTTGTGGTGTCTTGCAGCACAACCAGAACAAGGTCTTGATCTCCCTCATTGTAGGCCCAGTGAGCTGCCCCGGCTGGGAGTGCAAGAATGTCACCCTGTCTGCACTGTCCGATCTTCTGATGCCGGTCTTGGAACCTCTATGTCCTATCAAACTGAGATTGGGATGACTGGAATGTTTCGGCACATCCAGGTATCGCAGGCCCGCAAAAATCCCCTGCCTGCGTCCGGATTCATCATCACAGCCATTGACTAATAATGAATGAATGTGATTGTCTTTACAAAAATTATGATAGTAGACTAAAATCACGAGCTGAACGTGGATGGTACTAAAATAAATTGCATGGAACCTACCTCAGGCCACATAGGCAAGTAGGGGAGCATTAGTATAAGAAGGCAAGAGGAACCCTCTGGGTTTGATGGTGTGACGAAGCACCGCCACTCCAGCACATTGGAACTGAACGTCATTATGGTCATCGAACTCCGTTACTCCAGCTTCTGCTTGGATTTTGCCACTGGGTTGTTGGGGATTGATTCTTAGGATTCGGCACCGGCCTTGCTGCTGCTGAGTGCTGACTGAAGCAGCCATGGAAAAGGCAAAGAAAACCCAAGAAAAGAGACAAGAAGGAAAACTTACCAGTATGCAGTTGTACCGCAGATAAAGAGGCTAAGGGGGCATTAGGGAAATGGCACCTTTGGGCTGACGTGAGGGTGGCAAATGGGGAGTAATGGGATTCATAGGAGGAGAAAAGGTGTTTGGTTTGCAATGGACTGACACATATGCAATAGGTTGTGCCATCATGCTCCACTGCATGGCAACTAAGCTCTCATGGCTTACACCTCATATATATATATATATATATATATATATGATATACTAATATGATATATTTATCCCTTAAGAACTCCTCTTGCATGAGGAGGTGCATCTCTGTTTGCATCTAAGATAATACTAGTAGATGGCTTCTTATTCTAGTGTGCTTCTGCCACCACAAAAAATCGTCGTAATAAAAATTATTTAATTTTGTATATAAATCAATAATAAGGCTGTTTGAATGAATAAAGCCGTAATCCGTCAGTTTGATAATCGGGACTATAATGGTAAGCCAAGCTCAACAATTATAACACAAAATAAGGATGGCAACAAAGAACAAGTAAGATTTGCGGAGTTAATAAGGCGCGTTCTAAGAGATGTCAAGACTCCAGCTGCCAATAAATTAGAGAGTGGAAAGAAACACATTCATATAACTTAGAGAGTGGAAAGAAAAGGGGAACAAACCAAAAAAAAAAGCAAAGCAAAAGCTAATGTGAAGAGAGCAATTTTGTGCAACATAAGTTTAATTCATCATCAATTGTTGAAAGTAATAAGGATTTAGACGAATATATTTATATATATACACACACACAAATCGGAAAGGGATGAAAAGAGAGAGAGAGAGAGAGATGTACAAGCAAGAAATATACGCTCATGTTGTGAGCTTATACAAGGGCTGACAGGGTTTACTGTTGTACCTATAAAAAACCTTTTTCTTCTTGAATGTCCCGTTTGCAATGGTAATTACTATGTTCCCTGGTTCTCTGATGTAAAAAGAATTCCTAACAACCTCTCCCATTTTCTTCTCCTTTTGAAGCAATACCTTGTATGAACAATCATCGATTGGGATGAATTCTTCTTTGTAGGTAGCATCATGACCTGTGATGGCCACATCCCAAGTTACTATCCTTTCAGCCTGCTTTGCGCCCCCCACAAAAATTGAAAACAGGACATATTAGTCGCCTAACATGTTTGTTCCGAGTCACCTAATCAAAACTCATGTTTTCGTTTAAGGGCATAAAATAAACCAACATTTGATTTAATCTTTACCTCGTTTACTGGAATCTGAATATGCTCATACGTATTTGCTGGGACGTTCAGCTCTAAAACTTTGTCAAGGGCTGAAAACTCGATGTCATTCTCTCTCTTCAGGCCACCATATTGAACTAGTAAGCTCTCTGGGTTGATATACCTGCAAAATTAAGCGACATTATATTTAGTGATAGTGTCGTACAAACCCACCCCCCCCCCCCCCAACAAAAAAAAAAAAAAGATAAGAAAGAAATTGAAATTGAACGTATCTAGATTCTAGGCTGTATATGCTTTCATAGCAAAGCTTCCTTACTTGAGAAGAGTACTTGTGACTTTCGCAGACCTGACAAAGATAAACTTGTTCTTGCTCTTTGCTGTGATTTGCCTGAGATGTAAAGCGTTGACCGCACAGTACCAGAGTGGAAGGTTTATGATTAACTGCATTTGTTGCACACGAAGTTTAGCAACCAAAATCACATTCTATTGTCTAAGACAAATATGACTCCCATAACACCTTTCACCACATTGAATAATGATTAATGTGATAGAATAGACTTACGTTCTTGTGCATGATCCCAGGGTAATATTCATGAATCAACTTTATCATTTTATTGCAAAACCACCGCATTTCTTTGATGCTTTGTCCTGGTGCGTTCTTGAGATCTGTAATCTGAAGAATAGAGTTTGCCCCTCCGGGACTAAAATTAAGCAGTTGGATTCCCTTTTCAATACACTGAATCCTCCACCTAAGCAACTCCTCTAATTTCCCATCTGCCCTCAAAAGTTTCTTGTTCATTTCCCTGTCGGAAAAATCCTTGGAAGTTAGGTAACATATGGGGCGGCCTTCCTTGTCCACACCTTCTATTCGCCACATATTTTGCAGCTTAGGACACAGGTTTTCTTCAAGAATTCCATCCACTTTAAAATCCCTTCTCCATTTCATCATCTTGCAAAGCATGGCAAACGCGTCAGAGACCTTGTAATCTTTAGCTTTCAAGAATTTCATTAGGACAATGTCCGTGGCCTCGTGACCTTTACTGGGTAACAAGGGAACGCCCCATAAGGTAATGTCCTTATTCGACTTCTCTTTGGTTCTAGCATTTCCTTTGGCCCCAAAAATGCAATTGCCAAGAATTGCATCTTCAACTCTGCACCTAAATTCGAGCAAAGATATCTTCCGCGATGCGTTCATTTTCATTTGACAGGTCTGATCATTTTGTGAAGGCAGCGGGGCCTGATCGCAGATTTCTTCTTCTGATGACTCGGACTCATTTGGGCTGCTGCCATCCTCCCTTGCCTCTGACTTGGAAAGGGCCTTATCCTCGGGCATTTTGACGCCCTGTGCCGGCCAGGGTTCCGGCTGCAGGACGTGAGAGCACTGGTGGCTGGGGAGCGACCCGAGAACGACTGGAGGTGGTAAGGGGAGCTAGATAGATGACTCGAAACTTTGGACAGTAATATCCAAAATGACAAACTTTTGCGCTGCTCCCACGGAGGAGCCGAAACAACGGCCTTCATTTTGAAACTACTAAACATAACTGATTGATTTTGTTGTTGCCAACCAAATACGGGGTCTCCGTCACCAAATCGGTTAGCCGTTTAAGGTAAAAAGCAATCTGCCTGTTGCTGAGCTGGCACGGACGCATTCTATTTGGAAGACTAGCTTGAAAGAACGGTTGCCAAAGGCATCAAGCGCGAGCGAAGAGCTAGTTTTACGGGGCAACGATCAAATGTCAAAATCCTGGATGTCCGCTCAATCTCCAGGCGCTGCCAATCATCTAAAATTAGATAATATGCAACAGATTCTATGTGATGATTATTCAACCAGTCCAGATTCAAGAGAACTCGCACTCCCGTATTTTAATCTTGTCACACCTCTGCTCAAATTTCAACATACCAACCGTTGTTAATGCTATAAAGCCTTCATTGGATATAGACAATCAGTTTACATCATTGGTTTGGCCAGCATTTCTTCACTGTTTATTGAAAAATTTTTACCTCTACCAAGAAACAGCATTACGTGATACATTTAAAATCTAAATGAATACCAGCAGAAACAACGTCCGAAGGACGCATCGAGCATGATCGTTAAGAACATAGGAAAGCAGTAAATCCGAGGGAGAACAAGTTCAAAAACCTAAGACTGCAGAGTGACAATTAAAGCAATTCCATTCCTTTACAGATCCTCGTCACCAAATGGTACACCAATTTACACTGGCTGTGCACATCAGAGTTAAAAAAAAGGGGAATTAATATACAAAAGCAGCTGCTCTGCTTCTCATGGTTTCATTCTCCTGTCCAAAATGAACATCTCTATTCGCCTGACAAACTCTAGTTCCCAATTTGTATGTACATGAAAATATTCCAGGATAATCAGCGATTCAGAGTCAGAACCTCAGGATTCCCGGAATTTTGTCAGATCAAATGTCAACGTCTTCGAGCCACTGGAGAATAAATATTTTGTTGATAAGTGGACATGCCAGAAAAAATACAGAGATAGACGAGCAAAGAATTGTTAAATACTAGTTCAAGGAGCCTCACCCAATCTCACAATCCCTGTAAACCCCAACCAGAGCTTCAGCCTTGTCATAAAAACTGTCTTTTAGTGAAATGACTATACTCTGGAAACCACTTCCTCCCTCAGCGTCCTGATTGATTCTGGCTCCTCCGCATGATTTTGATCTGATGAATCCAGCAACCTTGGCAACATTTAGATTATCTAACGCAGCATCCACTTCGTCCAAAATGAAAAATGGCGAGGCTTTATAACTGGAAATACAAGGACAATAACCTCAAGAACAGGAAACCCATGAAAAGTGCAACACTTTTGATTGGTCATGAAAAGTGTGTTAACAGAAGAAAAACAAAACATGTTCATCTTAGTTGAGGTACTCAAAAAACTTTGTGTTGACACTTGACAGCAGAAAGCCACTATGCTCAATGAAGACAGCGAAGCATAAAAGCTACAAATTAGCTCAGGATACGAGCAACATGAAATAACGAAAAACAGAGAGAAAAAAATTTAAAGATTTCAGGGATATATAATATACTATACCAAGTCACAACTAATCCAGTCGTATCAGTCAATGTTGAAGGTATCCAAATGCAGACAGAAGAAACTAGATGTTAGCCAACATGATCCCCAGACTAGGTGAAGGGGTTCAAACTTACCTGTGGATGGAGAATAGCAATGCGAGTGCAGCAACTGTTTTTTCTCCCCCCGACAGTTGTTCCATATCACGAAAACGCTTTGTTGGGGGCATAGTCGTGTACTTTATCCCATGTAAAAATGGCTCATCCTCATTATCCAAGTTTAGGTATGCCGTCCCACCAAGGGGGTGGGTATTGCTCTTTGTGAGTTGTTTGTAGATCTTGTCAATATTACCAGAGATGTGATTGAAAGCCTCCATAAATTTTTCATACCTGTAACCGAAGAATATAGATAAGCAGCTATAGCTAACAAACAGCTATACCCAACAAACACTGTTCATCAGATTCGACATACAAAATTTGGCCATCTAAAATAGTTCGTCACATTTCTCCAGATTTTACACGTGAATGAACATTATGCAAATGTAAAAGGGAAAATGATAAAATTTTAACCTTTGGTAACTGCAAATCTTGATTGTTTTATTCATATTTTACAAGCATACAGGGCATCCAAGAAAACTAGACATGTAGAGTTCCTCAAGATTCACAGATTATCTATCTCTACTGGTGTACCACTTGCCTGTATCGCTTCCTGCATTTTATAAGGTGCAAAATACATTGGTACAAGACCAAAACTTTCATTCAATCATGAGGAAATCTCAGGACAAGGTTTTAATTTTCATTTCCTTCTCAAAAAAACCGCATCTCTTGTTTGCGCTCAAGGTTCACAATGACCACCACATACAGAAACTCTGCAATGAGCACATAGTATTAATCAAAACTCCGTGGTCTTCATAGCACAAATTTTCAAACAAGAGAATCACCAGCGCTTTGTGCAGCACTTGAGTTTAGGTACAATGTTCTTTCTTTCCATCATATTGGCTAAAGGTTTCCAACTTAAAAGATTATCTGCTGATCTAACTTCCACTTATCAAACAAAAAAGGAGATCAATCTCCTAATGATGATCAGCTAGCATTTGTGCTGCAGTTCCATAACAGTCTTCCCCACTGTTGAAACACTAAACAACAAAAGAACACTTGGCCGAAGCATAAAATGTCACTTTATCATGGTTGATCCTATGTTTCTTTTAACTGCTGCTTCCATTACATTTTGACACAGAAGCCATACTAAGATCCCACATTCTTCCTCGGTTTATTGTCGAACAGAGATTAAATAGCTTGAAACATCTAATGGCAATTTAGTTGCAAGGCAAGAAAAGGAAGAAAAAAACACACTCACAGAGTGTTGTACAATCATGAGTGTGTAAATTCATTAACACCAGGCAGAGAAGATTAATACCTGGACTGCTTGACATTGTTGAACTCTTTAGCTACTCTCAACTCTGCTTGTCGTGCCCCTTCAAATTCTTTTAGTATGATTTTTTCCTTCTCTCGCAAGGCCTCATATTGATCAAGAGCCTTCAGATTTGGAGCTGTTCTTTCAATTTCTGACATTAAGCCAGCAATTTTTTTTGTGAATTCTGCCTCAAGCTTGTCACGCTCAGACGGATTCATATTCTGCTGTTGAGCTCTACTTAGTTTGCTAAAATCAAAAACTGGACCATGTGTTGGCTCTCCAGTATCCATTGGGTCAGATATAGTTGGAATACTTATATGCTCCAATTCACATTTCTCCAGTATTTCTATTTTCCGCGAATTTAGCTGCTCAATCTGTGCCTCCTGTAAATTCATTCATTTCCTTTACACAGAGCTTCTAAATGCCAAACACTTTTTTTCCTTCATTGGGGCATGGGGGGAAATTGTAAATTTATGGTTTACCATGAACATGTTGCTAGTCCACAGAGATAGATAATACAGTAACCTGAAGATCACAAACCTTTGATTTTATCTGACGATTATGTTTGCTTATGCTAGTTGTAGCAGCAGAAATCTTTTTCTTCCACTCCTGTACATCCTTTTCACACTCTTCAGATTTGGATTTCCACTCTGCAAACAAGGCAAATAATTATTCAACACATCTATGGCAAATCATGCCATACTCTTCCAAAAAGTCACAGAGGTGGAATATTCCTATGACAAAAAATGATATCGTTTTAGCATTTTCAGCTTGTACTTTACCTAGTACTTCTTTCTTCAGACGATCAATCTCATCTCCAGATTTCTCCATGGAAGACTTCAACTCAATCTCTCTTTTCTCAACATCTTTCAAAGCACTTCTCAAATTCCCGAGTGTTGCTTCCAATTTGGCAATCCGTGATCGTATGTCAACATCACGCTTCTGCTCATACTCCAACCTAGCCACAGGTAAAGAAATTGCACAAATAAGATTGTACGAAAATTCCAAAAACAATAACATAAGACCAGGGTATATATACAGAAAATGAACAATGCATATTGCACAATGAAAAGTCTCAGCGCAATAACACCCCACTTCAATCAAACACAATGCCAGACATCCATGCACGTTATGCCTACATCGGAAGGCATCCTAAGAAAATGGTGGCTAGCAGATGGTGCACAGACAAACATCCATGACATTTGCTAGTCTAGTACAAGTACCATGCTCAAAGAATGATATCAGATGCAGAATGAAATGAACCATTGGAATGTCCCAAAGAGGAAAGACTACATATGATGTTTAAAACGAAATCGACTAGCAGTTCGAATGTCCTGATACCTCTGTAGGTAGATAGCAGTTGCATTAGTTTTTGAGGTTTAAAACGAAATCGACTACATATGATGAAGCCACAATAAAAAAGTGGGCAGACTCAATAGCCTGAAAAGTATCGAATACATACTGGTACTTCAACTTCGATTGCTGATTAAGCAAGCCAAGCTTTTGTTCAGCCATTAGCTGAACAGCCTTGAGCTGGTTTTCTTCATACTCCCGGATGTTTTTCACGCCAACAGACTCACTAAATTTCTTGTAGATCCGATCAACAATATCATTAATCCTCTTCTCTAGTGATACGATTTTTATATTCCTCGTATTTATCACATTTTCCAACTGCAAGTGAGTAATAAAAAATCAGTCGTCACAAGCATCATGCAGTTTGCAAGTTAAAAGGTAATGAAGAATATGAGCACCTTCTGAAGTTCAGGCATAACACGACCAATTTCTTCATCAATATTTCGCTTTTCCGACTCCAACTTGGAAAGCTTGTCCTCAATACTGTTCTGCAAGAGAAACATGATCAACACATAAGGCAATATTATCGAACTGAGAGAGTAGGAAGATTCACTTTCAGTATTATTTTTCCATATCCTCTATGATTTTGAACTCTCTCTAGGATATCTTGTAAAACAATCCATTACAAAGCCAACAATGAGAACTTATTTAAATGGGATAAGCCATCCCTAATCTAGTCCACCAACAAAATGAGCTCTAAAATAACAA